AGGGAGGTGTGATCACCTCCTCCTATTAGGGTACCCTCATCATGTCAGACCCCCAGATCTGCCCTCTGCACATACTGAAGGGTGTCACAACCACACTACTTCCATTCCTATAGTACACTACATTTTAGTTGCAAATATGTGCATAGATCTTAAAATATGCAGCATCACATGACATGAGGCCATTTAACAGTGGGTGTATCTACAGTGCTCCAGTTGACATCTATATGGGGGGTTGCTTTAATATGAATGGAAGGCAGGGTGGCTGATGGAGGAGAGGAAATTCAAGCACTGTGCATGTAGCAGAACACAGTGCCAGTGGCTGCTGGATAAGAATTCACTTCTTCCTTCTGCTCCTGGTTCTAATTCAGGCATCTTATTAGTCTGTCTACATCCCCACTATGGATTTCCCAATGGATGCTACCGAGTCACTCAACAGTCACCCCCCAGGGATGTACACTGCCTGCAGATCTCACTGGCTCCCTCTCCTCTCTCCTTTTCTTATTGTGTCCTTGTAGCTTACAAATGTCCTGGTGGTGCCATGTACCCAGCTAGGGACTGCAGGCTCTCCAGCAGCTTTACTAGTTACAAGTAGCTGATCCTTAGCACAATCTCCCTGCTCTGCCCAATGGTTTCTTCTAATCAGGTGATGCAGCATTAGGTTAACCCCTTGGGTGCCAGGGAAACTCTTAACTCTTTCACTTCCTATGGGTGGAAGATGAAAGCCATGCAGCTAATGGTTCTTTTTATACTAAAACAGAATTTTGCTAATTATTTGCAAGTAAGACTAGTATGCCATTGGGCAGATTATTAATAATATTATTACTGCCAACTACAGTTAAAGCTGCTGTTTGTGATAAAGAAGTCTCTGTTTTGGAATTAACAGATAAACCTCTGGCATAAACTTTGCCTAACAAGGGCTAGATGAATAATATTAATAATAAAATATAATTATAATTTGCACAGTGCTTCACAAAATAAAAGGGAGATGGTACAGTTGCACTCCAATACAATAGGGTAAAGGTGGCCATACACTGTACAACCATCGCAAGACCTCACGATCTGCCCATCTTGGACAGGGGCGGGCTTCCGATTACCGCAATGCTGAACGGGCAGTGTGCGCGTGCACACACCGGCCCGTTCGGCATTTGTCTCCCGAGCACTGTTCAAACCAGCGTACGATTCTCGGCTGGTTTTCTAACATGCTCCTGAAGGTGCCCATACACTGCACGATTATCGTACGATAATCAGACGTGCGACCGCACAGTAGAAACGCACGTCTTCGTTCACACTGTTCGATTCTCGTACGATCGCGGGATTTTCCACGATTCTCGTACGAGAATCGAGCAGTGTATGGGCACCTTAAGGGTGTATATGCTGAACATAGTAAAGGCTGACCTTCACTCTGCAGGAGTCTAAAGGTGCCCATACACCCTAAGGTGCCCACACACCTTGCGATAATCGTACGATAATTGCGGGAAATCCCGCGATTGTACAATTATTGCAAGGTGTGTGGAAGACGCGCGACCTCTGCTACTGTAAGGTTGCACGACTTTTATCTTAGGAAGGCTTCATTCACACGTATGCGAGTTTAGATACATCTGTCCTTTTGTCCATTGAAGTAGCCACATCTTGCATTTACATGCGCTTACATGTGTTTTGATACATTCAAAAGTAAAATTTTGTACACACCTGCCTCCAATTTTTTGTGAACTCAGCTAAACTGACCGCAGGTAAAAGCACCTAAACTCAAGGTGTGAATAGACCCACTGGAAATCATTAGAGATATATACACATACATACATACATACATACATACACACACACATCCATGTCTTTAGAAAACCAATTTAAACGCATCTAAATTGCACCTAGTGTGAATGTAGCCCAAGGCCCCATTCACACTAGGGCGTGATTAGGCACTTTTATATGTGTTTTTAATGGTTTTCTAAATGCATATAAATACATATAATGATTTCCAATGGATCCATTCACATCTTGCATTTAGAGGCAGTTTAGCTACGTTTAGGAAAAAATAGAAGTCAGGTGCGTCCAGGAAACAATTTTAGCTTCCAAATACATGTAAACGCAAGATGCATCTGTTTGCTGAAATCTCATCAGCTACTTCAATGGGCAAAGGACATATGCATCTAAAAGCATATGATGTAAACGCACATCATGTTAAGCATCTAGAAGCATAGAACAGCATCTATTCTGACAGATTCTGCAGACAGATCTCTGCATAAAAAACGCAAGTGGCCAGTGTGAATGAGGCCGTAGTCAGATTTACCCGCCAAAACTATCCCCTCCAGTGCTGCGCACCTTGCTCGCCGCATATGGACAGGGGTTACTTCATCTCGGCATACCAGGTCTACGCATGCATGTGTCAGTGTACAGGAAAAAGGAAACTGCCAACAGGTAGAAAGAATCTTTTATGGTAGAAGAGACTTAGACAGTCTGCCAATCAGCAGGGTTTTTTTTTTAAAAAAAAGCTTTACTTCCACTTTAAAGTGTCCAGTGTGAATCTGTCACATGTAAAAGAAAAGTTGCACGGTTGCATTAGTAGCAGTTAGTTACATTCAACTAAATTTGTTTTGTAATTTTAGAAACATTTTGATACTCTTCACAGCAAAGGTGTACATAACAGGTAAATTAAATGTATACATGAGTTTACTATTTCAATGAATACCACCATTGCCAGGTTGTGAAAAGTGGTAAATCAGCAATGTTGTCATTAAAATAAAGGAAATCTGGGCTGAAAAAACAAACGTTGGCTGGCATTACTGACCGTTCATTCTGAATATGCTTGCTGTCTAGTTATCAGAGCTGATGGAGTGGCTTCAGGATTTTCAGAGGCTCTGACCTAGGCAAGGCCCTATGTAGACATCATTCTGCTCTAGGCACACCTGAATGAGAACACAAGTTTATACATGCCACGCCCCTTGTGCCATGTGACTGTTTTAGTAAAAGCTACTGCCAAAATGTGCTGCTGGAGGAGTCATGCTTTCTGCTTTGTATTCATGGCTGCCGTCTACTGTGAGGACCCCCAAACAAGGGTAAGAAGAGAGCTTTCAATTCCTTTTGAGTGCTCTCAACACCCCCTACAGTTCGAGATGAAGTATGGATTCTTTGCCCCTATGGGTTCCCTGTGAATCCAAAGGGTTTGAAATCCAAGGTCCTGGTAAATTTACCAGTGTCAGTGTATTGAAGGCATTGTAGGTAAAGATAAAGAAAGTTGACATATGCCTAGGAAAATATTGGGGTCAGTTAGGGAACTGTACTTTAATTCTGATTGCTACCGCTTGGGACAATCAACCCGTTTGCTGCCTTTTTTGTCATTGTTGGGGGATATTTTGGCTTTAAATTTAGCTCATGGTTGATTAGAGGGCAGTTGTCATGGTGGTATTTTGGGTAATTTAGTTTCTTTTATAATAATGATCAGGCCTTTATTTCACATTTGGCATACTCAAAGAGCAGCAGTTGCTTATTGCAAACAAAAGGCGACTCCAAGAATGGATGGTCAGCAACAGGCCACTGCATCATTTGAAAGAAATAATAAAAAAATATATCGCTCACATTTTCCGCACCACCCTCTATTGCCATAGTGAAAATAAGTTAGGCAAAAACATTTGAGGCTAGGTTCACACCTGCACAATCTTTGACTGTGCGGCAATTGTGAATGATACCGCGTGGATTGCCGTGCGGTCACAGGGTTGCCCACCGTCGCTGATCGTGCTGGCGGTGCCATTATTTTCTAATGGCACTCCAGTCGCGTGTGGTTTCCCACTGCGATTCCACCCGTGCAATTGAACACAAACACTAAAACAGCCATGCGTTGCGTGTCACAAAAAAAGGTACATGTACCTTTTTTTTCTGCGATTGCCGCGCAGATGTAACTAGGGATGTCCCGATACCGATGCTAGTACCGGTATCGGGGCCGATACAGGGCATTTTCAGGAGTACTTGTACTCCTGAAAATGCCCCGATGCCTAGATCAGATACCGGCCGTTTAAATTTTTTAAACTAATGTAGCCCTGTTTGGGGGGACCTTTGCTGATTGACAGCAGGCAGTGGGCGGGTACAATAGCCAGCCTGCTATTGGCTAGTGCAATTTAAAATATCCAATAGCAGGCTGGCTATTGCTCCCAGCCACTGCCTGCTGTATTTACATTCAGTGAATCCAGTGAAGTAGAAAGGTGACACTAGAGGTCTAAAAGACCCCTAATGTCAGAGAACCTGTCACCTCCAATGCACGCAGCACTGGTGAGAAACTGCCCTAAAATCATGTCCCTTTAAGAAAAAGTATCAGTAATTGGTGTCGGCAAGTACATGAGGGACAGTACTTGTACTTGGTCTTGAAAAAGTGGTATCGGGACATCCCTAGATGTAACCCCATTGAAATCAATGGCCCACGTGGCAATTACACACAATC